AAGTCGAGAGAAAACAGGCGCCTGTGATTATTGACTTTTTGAAATACGTCAAAACAGCTGTCAAAATATTTATTTCAAAATGAATAAACCAGTCTTTGAAACAAAAAACGTAAAAATTGCTCTTTTTTGGCGTAGTGAGTGTATCTAACCCCTTAAATAATGTTCTTATATTAAATAAGGCGAAAGAAAAATGGGCTTTAATTTTTTCATTAATTATTTATTGAAACGATGTAGAATCATTCCCTGTTTATAACTTTGGGGTTCTCGAACTTTAAATCTAACTTTTTTAAACCACACCGTGAGATGTCAAAAAATGCGTCCTGGAGGCGCTGTAATCTCTTTAATCTGTTTCAGGTTTTCAATAATTATTTCAGAAGCTGTGCGAGAATATTTATGCTTTATTTCTGATCAATTTTTTGGGCCAGAAATCATCTGGTGCACCATCATGATGTCAAATCGGATAAATGATGACCATGGGCGTACGAAACAGGGTCTACTCGGGAAAAAAATCCTTATAATTTTTTGTGTGTTTTTTTATGAATTCTTGATTTTGGAATATAATTCTCCATATAATTTTACGTAAAAAATGTGCCCTTTCGAGAAAAACGTTATTAAAGATTTTTTCCCTGAGTAGCCCCTGTTTTGCACGCCTATGATCATCATTTATCCAATTTAACACATTTCTTGCACAAAAAATACCCCAGTAATAAAGCATCATTTTTTTTGTACTAACCGTTTCTGAAATAATTACCTAGAACCTGATTTTGCGAAACACTTTTTCCTATAGTGCTCCCAGGAGGCATTTTCTGTTCTGCTTATAACAACTTTTTTTTAGGTATAGAATTACTACCCGAAATATATTTACGTTATTTTCGGACACCCTGTATAGAAACACTTTATTAAAACTAGTTTAAATGTCAAATTATTATAAACCCCAGTAAACCTCCAAGCTAAAATGTAGATTCTTCTTCTAAACTTTTTATTCTCTCTCTTTCGAGAGAATTGGACGAGCCATTTATGCTCTTACTGCCCAGTTACAAGTTTTTACGTCCATGAGCTTCTCGAAGCACAAATCACAAAATACCTCGCTGAAAGGACAAAGCTTGCAATATTATCGATAAATACCGGTATATTTCTATTTTATCCCTCCTGGGTCAAAGTCAACTATTTTTAGACTTTTTCATGGAGCGATGCATAGCACATGAAGAATAAAATCGAACTTAAAATGTAATATAAATTTAAAAAAAAAATATTTAATGTAATAATTATAATTTTCATATTTTAACAAGTCTATATAGAAGGATTTTATATTAATACTAGTATAGAAGTTAAATAATTATAAACCTTGGTACAAAAATAAACTAATATTTTATTATGACAGTTTAACGTAACATAAAAATGATGTGACAAAATCTTAAAGAAAGATTCAAATTAAATGGTATACAAAACACGGTGGCGAAAGCTTATTAATTGCCTTACACACAATATACTGCCCCGGCTGCCACCTCGGAAATATGCTCGTCTACAATATAAGATTTCTCCGTCTGGTCTATATTTTACTAGTTTTTTTTATCGTGCGAAAAGTTTCTACTTTACGCATGCATAACCGTGCGGAAAGTTGCACTTTTCCGCACGCTTGTAAAAAAATGTTTTTTCTTCAATTAACCCGTCGTCTGACATGTAAACTTTTTTAACATGAGACATGTTGGGGTGTCACAAACCCCATATTGTTTTAGCAGTAAATTTTTGGTTGGATCTTTTGATGTTACTTTTTTGAAATAATAGACAATATATTTAATGACCTTATTAGACAAATAAACACCAAAACAGATTAAAACACATTTTAAAGAATAGATTAAAAAATTATAACAAAACATTAAAAAACAAAAAAGTTATGCGTCATTGAAATCGGCACAATTTTCACAAAACATACGCGCATGTTCTAGGCATAAAAATTTTCCGCAAACTTCGCAGACATATTTTGTCTTGCGATCACGATTACGCGGACAAAATTCACATCTACACTGTCTATTGAGCCTCTGCTTTTTCACAAGAGGTTCTTCAGTTTCGCCTCTGATTCTATGTAATGCCATTCTTAGCTCTCGAGATACTCTAAAATTGGTCATTCTTGCTCTCTGATAATCATTTATCAATTCATAGCCCAATTTTGTGAGGTAATCTTTTCTTTTCAAAATTATTCCACCATTATTTTCGCGATGGATGATCTGAGAATGTATTCATCATGGAGAAAAACAAGGTGAGTGGCCACCGCTTGCTATTACGTTAGATTGTAGAATGAGATCATTTCAGGTAGATTTTTTTCAGAATCATCCACCAAATCATCATGATGAAGGGTTGACATAAGTAGAACAACTTTTCCTTTTTTCGGAACGTATGAGACAATTGTGAAATTTTCTTGAAAACCAAAAAGGCTTGACTTTATTTCTCGACCCCTAACATTTAAAAATTGCACGGGAATTTCCCGTTTGTTTTTTCGAATTGTACCAACTGCAGTTAGGCCATGGTTTGTACGAAGTTTTTCAAATAAATCTTGGCTAGTGTACCAGTTGTCGCAAGTAATGTTTCTATTGCTACCAGCAATTGGACTGACAAGCCGTTCCACTATAGCAGTAGGACTATTACTTTGAACAAAGGGCCCATCAGGCTGCTTACCCACATAGACTTCCACGTTCACTAGATAGTGTGTTCGAGCATCTACAAGAGCTTGAACCTTGATGCCGTATCTGGCAGGTTTATTTGGCATGTACTGCCTAAATGAGCATTTACCTCTAAATGCCTCTAACTTTTCGTCTATAGTCAAATATTGGCCTGGCGTATAGGCACTTTTGCAATTATCAATGATTTTTTCGACCATACCTCTAATAGCCGCCAGTTTGTAAATTTCGCGCCTTTGTGCACGATTTTCCTTATTGTCAAATCGCAAACATGTAACCAGAAATTCGAACCGCCTTTGAGCCATGGTGACTCGGAATATCTCAAATCCTGTACCGTCTGTTTTCCAAAAATCTTTTGTCAGGCGATGGTTATTCCTGAATACTCCTGCCAAATAGAGCAGACCAATTAGAGCTTTTAGTTCTCTATTACTTGTTGGCTGATAATAAGTGGACTCCTCCCATCCTCTTGTTTTTTCCTCAATTCTTTGGTTCGTCCACCTTACCATATCGCCTATCATTTCTTCATTGATGAAAAGAAGAAAACACTCCAGAGGACTTTTTATATTTCGAGCGAATCTTTTGACACCAGGCAAATGACTGATAATATTCTCAGCTCTGGTTCTCACGTTTCTATTAAAATAATTTTTTCTCCACCTGGTGCCATTTTTACCTATATAGTAGCTGTTATGTTCTTGAATATTCCCAGGCTCACTTTCAATGTCATCAGTTTCGATTACTTCGTTTTCTTCAGTGCTTGTGCTTGTGCCTGTATCTTCTGCTGGGTCGTTTTCTCCTTTAAAATCATTTTCTACTTGTTCTATATCCGGTTAATCACTATTTATGCTCACATTGTCTACCTCACTTCCGCCATCTGCATCTGATTCTATTATTTCTTCTTCGTCGGTTTGCACATCCTCCCATAAAGCCTTAAGGCGACGCATTTCTTTTTCTTACTCCCCCATGGTTAAATCTAAAGATTTTAAAAGCTATACACTAATGTAAGAAGATACATTAAAATTAATTAACCTCAAAATTCGAACCAAAGGCAGATAACCACTAGTTTGAGGAATGCACGATTTTGAAACACTACCTGACATGTGGGGTTTGATAAACCCCAAGCAAACTAAACAAGTCACGAATCTCAACTGTGGCAGACTTTCATTAATTCAGTGAAATTTGCTCAAAGAACCGACCATTGCCGAAAGCTACCGAAGATGCCAGCTATTTTTAAAAATTTTGCGGTTTAAAATCCCTTGGGGTTTGTTACACCCCACATGTCAGACGACGGGTTAAAAACTTGCAAGATTCCTTGTACAAAAAATATTGTATAACACGCGCGGAAAGTGTCTTTTCAGCACTCTACTACTGACGCAGCACTATGGTCAAAAAATGCCGTTTGCGGCAAAAATTCAATTTTTTTTTAATAAATATTATTATTTTTTCTTTTCTAATGTTTTAAAAAGGATAAAATACGTATAAGTAAGCATGTTTTTACATCAAAAACTTAAGGCTTTTTATTTTTTATCGCATTTTTATATTGTAAAAACACACTGTTTTTCGGAAAAAATTTTATAACACAATATTTATTTTATTTTATTTACCTGTGCTGGGTATGATTTATTTAATAACATAAATCCAAAAAATAGAAACTTTTAATATTTTAACGTGGGTTTTATAAATTTTATTTTGTATTACCATAATATTATAAATATGGATATATTATAACAATATGTTATATTGTAAAAATACTACTTTAAGTTGTTTTAATCATAAAAAAATAAAAAAAAACTAAATAAATTATATTAACAATTCATTAACTTCATCTCGAAGTTCGTATTTTATACATGATATTTTTTCCCTTGCAAATGTTATAACAGGATCAGATGATATTAAAAGTCGGTGTAAATATCCTTATTTGTTGCTGTCCTGTTTGTTTTTCTTGAAAACATGTACCTAATTTTTTTTTAATCTTTATTTTGGGATTTCGGGCCTCCTCTGAAGGATTGGTAAAGATATATTTTCCATCACCTTCTTTCCATGTACTAATATTTTATGAACTGTTACAGGCATGTAGTATCATGGATACAGTTCCACAAACAACTTTTCTGTTTGCTGAGCAAACATTCCAAACTTATTTGGATCTATCAAGCTTTGTGTAGTGTTAGCTTGCAGAATGGTTTGAAACCTATCTATTAAGTTAAAATCAACCTTAGTTATCTCTGCAACTAATGTTGTATTTTGAAAAAATCTTCTTGATGTGTTTCTAGAGTTGGAATTACCTGAGCAGGGTTTTAACAACGTCTATTAATTAAACCCATTTTTGATCTAAATTCCTGTTGAATTCTTTTTTTTCGGATTCCTTAATTTCCTGCAGATCTTTTGTGGTTCTCCATTTTTTAAAGGCACCATGGATACCATGTAGATGCTACTTTCTGATGTTTCCTGATTATTACCTTGTACATATTTTTTATTGTATTCAGATTGCCCGGAATTACCATCACATCCCCACTTACTAACTAAAAGTAACTCTGTATTATCTTCTACATCATTATCGATAGCTTCCAAAATTCGCTTTGGGGTATGATCTACAAGACTTTGCAAATCTACATGGACACTTCTTTCAGTAATTACCATTTTATCTGAGTAGCACTCTTTTTTGGCTTCAAGAACCTTATAATAAGGTGGTAAAATATCATGTCCAAAATCGTTAACAGCATTTCTAAAGCTTCATATTGATGCTTTGACAATTGGACATGCGTTATCAACGCCAAAGCCTGTTCCGTTGGCATATACATTTTCTTCTCAAAATTTTCGGGGAATTTCGCAGCTGCGGATAAAAGGTCTGATTCAAAGGATTCTCGTAAAAGTTTAACCTTATGCCTTTTAGAACGTTCAGCACAATCCAAAAAATGCTTATTTAGTCTTCCTACACCTGATGAACCTGGTTGTGATAAATCTTTATTAAATTCAATTATTATTACCATACAAATCCTATAGCATTTTTAAGGTAATAATATTTGAATTTGAATTCAAATACCTATAAAATCGAATAATTTTGTACCTTATAATTTGTTTTGAGGTGGTAATTAATTAATAAACCTAGGTAGGTACTTTGTATATAGTTTTTGATAATATTATAAACATAATACTTGTTTAAATATTTATAATAATAAATAAACTTAACTAAAACCTATAAGCATAGATCTAAAGGTTTGAAAATCTTGAATGCGTAGACAATGCCTTAGTTAGTTACGAGCTACCGCGATTTAACCATACACTACCAACGCAGCATTAGCCATAAAAAAGAAGCCATACACCAATAAAGCAATATAATAAAAAAATGCATAAGGGCAAAAAGCAAAAAAAATTACAAGCAAATGTGTCCTTTTTTAAATTTTACATGAAATTAATAAAAACAATTACAATCTTTAAAATTTACTCTGCACTTAGTACATAACTTCTTGTTTAAATTGGGTTCCTTTTTATATAAATCAAAGTAGGTACCTAATTTATTTAAATCAATGCCTTATTAGCCAAATAATAAAATAAAAGCTAGGTAAACAAAATATTTTTTGATTAACAATAATCTGAAAGAGGTAAAAGTACAAAATTCTGTTATATAATATTTTTTAAACATACCTAACCCATTTAAATTCCTACAAAAATTAGAGCAATGCATAAAATGATGTACAAACTCATTTCGTACTTCACTGTGGCAGTTTATGCCAAATTCGGCTCAGGGAAATGACGATGTCACTTCCTCATTTAACCTATTTTTTTGATTACTTTAGCTCTGTTTATAAACCAGTTTCAATTTATATATTAAATGATCAAGTTGACATCAATAATAATTATTGTCTAATTGATAATCTGAACTTTAATATACTCAACTCTTTAAAAGCAAACATCAGGTACCTTGATGATATCTCTAGTATTAAAAAAAAAGAAACAAGAAGACCTAAAAATTCAAACGATGCTACAACAAAACGGATTCTCCAAAACCATGACCAAAAAGGTTCTTAGACCACGACGCCGGTTAAATACCACAGAGGAGGAGAACAACAAACCAACTTTGAATGCCTATCTTCCCTACGTCAAAGGAACAGCCGAGAGAATAGGCAAAGTTCTCAAAAAACATAACATTGAGACCACATTAAATAATAAAATAGAAGCTAGTAAATTTTACTGTCCCAAGAAAGATCGGTCAAATACTTCCAAACGCCAAACCAAAAATAGAACTCCTTGTAAGAATTGTGACAGAAGCTACGTGGGACAGACCAATAGACGTATCAACGTTCGACGCGTATACGCAGTCTTGAAAAAAGAAAAAAATCTTCCTTAGCTGAACACGTCCGAAAAACTTCCCATTAAATTAACTTTGAAAAAACAAGGGTCTTGGCTAGCATCGAACACAGGACCAAACATAAAATCCGTGAAGCCATAGAAATAGAAAAACGTTCAAGAAACCTCAACACAAGAGACAAGAGGGTATATAAACAACGATCAGCGGCAACGGAGCTCACTCCACGTCTAACTCGCAGCAGAGCAGCAACATCAGCCCAGCAGATAAAACCTGAGGATTATACATGAGATTGTACCAAAACGTCGTCAGACATACGGAAAACCATCAATATATATAATAATAATATATATATTGTAATGATTCCGTAAAAAATACCCCTTTATAAATTTATTAGAATAGATCGTTTTCTTTGGTAAAATTGTAAAATCAAGTTATTTTTCTAAAATCATTGTTAAAAGTGTTGTTAGTGTATTCTTCAAGGTTAGTTCTAAATATTTACTATCTAAATGTGTAGTAAAATTAAATAAACGTAATATTGTGCATTTTTAAATTCTTAATATTATTATTATATGATTATTGCTATTATGAGTATATTTATCCTTTACTATTACGTTTAGCTGTATTTTACGTTATTTTTAACCCTTTTCTTTTAGCTATTACCACCCCTATTTTCGCTTTTACTATTATAACTATAATTTTAATAATTTGCTATGCTCAATGCTGGTACTGCTCAAATGTAACATTGTAATTTGTTTGTGCTTAACCCAACATGTTGTACCTTTTCTATAACGTGGTTAAGCATTGTTTTATGATCAGTCTAAATTTATTGATGTATTGCAAAATTACTCGGTGCTTAAACAGGAGTGCTGACCGTTATTGTTTAATACTCTTTGTTTGTGTGCGTGGGCCTTTGTTGTATGAACTAATATTTTCTCCCGTGAGGGGAACAGGTTGTCCTAGCTTCTCTAGGGCTGCATCGCTTTTCCCCGGCGGGTTGCCTCTCTTTTAGGACCTAGTTACATTCTGGGCATAGCCCGGCTAACTAACACCAATATTCTTCAGTTTTAAATCTTTGTTAAATGCAGTATCGAGCCATATCGCCAATACATTAATTTGCTTAATTTTTAAAGTACAATGCCTGACCGCGTATTACTTTGCTATCTTATAGTCGACCAGGGTTTTTTCTCAGGCTCTTTTTCCCTGGCCGAACCCTCCTAAGAGCAACCCCTTGCTTGTTTATAAAAAGTAACGTAAATTAAATTGGGGTAAACTAAGCCACTGTATTTTTATTTCTTATAAACCTAGTTCTCCCACGTATCATTCTTAAAGCAATGCATTTAATAAAACAAGTAAGTAAACACAACGTAGAGGTCCAAATTCGGGTAAGACGATCACGAGCCAAAGCCACAAAATATTTAATTTATCAATTTTGCATAAAACTTGTTTTAAACGAACCTGGGGTAAAGAGAAATCTTTACAATATATAAATAAAAGTCAATGACAGCAGAAACGGGGTGCATAGAGGATGAAATAGTTAAATAGTCTTTTCCGTTTTTTGATCAGACACACCATTAATAAAATAAAGTAGCCAATCACAGGCGTGCTCTAGCAGAATGATTAAAGGTTGGAAATAATAATATGTGGGGCAATATTTTTGAAGACACCGTTCTTTTATATCAGTTACCAGAAACGCTAAACGTACTTGGCATTTTTGCAAGAGGTTCTTTTAGATTTGCTTGAAGAAGTTCCAGTTGGAGAGCATCCCCAGTACTTCAAGCATGATGGTTCACCCAAAGATAATCTTTGGGTGCACCGGCTCATTACTCCGGTCGTGTCCGAGAATGTCTCAAGTTAAAACTAACCTAAAAACTAAATCACTGACAGTGAAAATGTCAACCATATAGTCACTCCTATTTTATATAAATTTTTTTAGATTAGGCTGTACATTATAGTTCTCCCCCCTCTAATCATTCTGCTAAAACACGCCTATGATGGCTACTTTATTTTATTAATAACTAATTATTGGTGAGTCTGATCGAAAAAGGGCAAGGACTATTCGACTTAGAATCCAATCCCCTATCCACCCCTTACTATATTGGATTAGCGAAGAGAGACCTTATTATTTTTCCAATCTATTTCAAAATCTGGTATTTTTAAAGGCTTTAACATCGGATTTTAAGAAAAAGTTTGCTATCTTTGATCCGCCATCTTGATTTTTGTAAAGGCGCCTACGGATTTCTGTAGCACTTTGTTTAAGCTTTCTTTCGAGCCCTTATTCTTATTTTTTGTAGGCCGATATTAATTTTTGTAAAGGGGCTTACGGCTTTATGTAGCACTTGGTCTCATACATATTTATATATATATATATATTTTTTTTTAAATAATTACTTTTTACTATTTATATACCAAGCTTAAATAGTCACCAACTTTGACAATTTAACAATCAGTAAAAAACACTAAAAAGATATGAATGGTATATACACAGAGAAAAGTAATCTCTTGATTTAAGAAAATGCATTTATTTGAAACAGTTTTTCTTGTATGAAGTAAAATTGTCTTATTCGTAGTAACTTCTTGTTTACAATAAGAAAATACTATTATTTGGTTGTAAATCATGAGTTTCTTGAAAACAACTTATTGTTTTGATTAATTGTAAAGAAATATTTATTTAGAGCAATTAATTAAATTGTTTGGATATAGGTTGTAGGGATTTAGTTTTATCAAATGTTAATACAAGCATATAATATCTTATTTTAACAAAATAATAGAATTGATACAAGTAAATGTTTTGTTTCTTTAAGTAAGATAAAAAGTCAACTAAATATTTACTTGTATTAAACAAACCATCAGTTTAAAAAGTCAAATAAACCCAAGTTTTCCACTAAATAAATATCGTCTTGTATCATATCGAAATAAATAATTTATTTGAGTCAAGACAGATATAGTAAAATCAAGAGATTACTTTTCTCTGTGTAAATAGTAAAAAGTAGTTATTTAAAAAATGACTATTCCCCCCATTTGTCAGAGATTGGGGTGGGTATTTTTTGCCATTTTTTTAGGTTTCCTAGTTTTTGGTTATATTCTATAAGGCTACACAATACATAAAATATAGAGGAGTACATCCATTGACAAAGAGATTACATTAAAAAAACTAAATGATTAGTTATTTACTTTTATAATCATCATTTTTTTAAGTTATATACATTTACAAATTTATTGATACATTATAAAAAAAACAACACTTTGAAAAGCTTGAGGCTGTTTAATACTTTTTTCCGCCTCCCAGAGTCATTAAATACAAATTAGAGCAAAAAAATTAAATCAAATTTCGCTTAATAATCTGAAACCATAATTATCCCAGCATGTAAATAAATTATGCTGTACTAACGGATTTAGCAAAATTGCATTGTTTTCAAATTCCAATCACCATAAATGGAAATCTGCAATTTCTCTTTTCTCATTGTTATTCCACCAGACTATACAAATCCTATTATCCAAATTGTTAGCATTAAATAATGGTTTTCTGTTTTTGAACATTGCCTGCACTAAATTGTTTATTTTTTTGTTTTTAAAATAATAATAATATAAGAATTTAAAATTAAAAACACAATTTGCATTTGCCAACGATTTATATAGTGTACGTTATGTTTGTGTTTAAATAGAAATTTCAAGAGGAAAATG